GGCCGGCGACTGCCTGAGGTGCCGCACGTGTCGGGATCCTCTGGCAGTCGCGGGCCAGCAAAATTAGGACCCAACCTGGAGCTCCTCCCACCGGACCAGCGCTGACTCACCGCTGCTCCCCCGCACCGAAGGTAAGTGAAAAAAAAAACATAGGGCAAACAAAGTTTTTTCCGCCCTCACCCTGCAGCGCCGTAAGGCGGCCGCCTGACTTGCCTTGCGGTAGCGCCGGGCCTGGCTGGAGCACTGTTTCTTATGTTATGATTACTGTTATGCTGCTTAGTTATTGACCTGTAACAAATGCAAGATACTGGTATCTTATGTTTATTTAAAGCAGAACTCCAGGGAAAATTCATCTTAACCCTTGCAGTGGAGCTACCTCCGCACTGCAAGTATTAAGTGCTCATTTTTGTCTAGGGTCTAACATAGCAAAGATATACTTACCTGATCCTTGGAGGTGGTCGACTTCCTAGAATGGTCCCTTCAGCCTCTCTACTTCTCTGCTGTATTACATGTCCCTCGGTGTCCTTGCAATCTATACACAGTGTAAAGAACTAGAGGACTCACAGGACCTTAGACCGCTGCAGCGGAGGGGGAGAGACGCTCCAGGAACCAGTCTAAGAGCCAGTTTGCTCCGATGGTTGGCTGAGTATAACTTTGTTGTTTTGAACCTAGACAAATATGAGCATTTAACCCTTAAAGTGTGTGTGTGTGTGGTGGTGGTGTGGGGGGGGGGAAGGTGGCGAAATTGACCATTGATATGTACCTAACCTAAATTTATGGTCCTTTAATTTTCATGGAAGCAGGAATATAACTCTGAACACATCAAAATTAGAAAACAAATTTAACTTATTTAATTAGTATAGAGCCAAAGGAAATCTCAGCGCTCCAATTCCTTAGCCACCATCAGGACTCCCCAGGTGCTGGTCTAATAGGTGCGTCTTCACCTTAGAATGCAGCAGTACACGAACAGACAGCACTATCCAGAGAATTCCAATACTTTAGATTTTATTAAAATTCACAGCAAATCCAGTATAACTGTGAATAAAAGTGTATAAAGCAACAAATGCCAGCACTGCACACCCCCCAACCAGTTAATTTTAATAAAGTCTGAAGTATTGGAATTCTCTGGATAGTGCGGTCTGTTCGTATACTACTTATTTAATTAGTACCTACAATCAAAAACCCTAAAACAAATATCTGGCAGTATGTAGGTAATCATTGAGGGGACAGTGTATACCTTTTTATACTGCCGATAGGAACATTTATTTTCAGAAATGACAACCACTTTAGTTACCCTGGGCCAGCAAAGTAATTGGGTCCCCTGTAGGCCTTCCTCCAGCTGTTTTCACCATTGCTGTAGATTCCAGTAATTTATGTTATGTTGGTTCAAAGATGTTTGTAGTTGGTATACAGACATGTACTCGCTGCTTGAGGATGAGTTGTCAATAGATAATATAACCATGTGAACAATTACCTGCTTATCTACTGCTGTTTTTTTACAAAGACTAAGGCAACAAATAAGGTTTACTACATATAAACGGACTGCAATCAGTTCATGACTCACCGAGCAAAAGTATAAATCTACAATAAAATACAGATAGAAACTAATGATGGGCTATATCCTCTGTAGACTGCAATCCTGTCTGCAAAACAGATTGAAGGGTGCCTATAGTAA